GTTTAAAACAGTTTCAAAAATTCTGACTAACGATAAATAAGGTGTTAATGTAACTATTGAGTGTTCTGTCTGAAGTAAGAAAGCTTGGACTTGATCATGCCATTAAATTAATATCAGAGAAAACTCTAATTAGTAAAAAAAAAATTTTATTAGCGCACCCCCATCAATAAACCTCCTTTTGGGGTTCATATTTTCAATTTTTTATTATTACATATTTTTCTTTTTGATTTTTTTTTTAAAAAAATAAAAAATTAGACCAATCGCGGAACGTCATGTGTCGTGTAGTCCGTACTACAGTTATGAACTTTAGGAGAGAGGAGTTCAACCAAAAGAGCTTTAGGAGAGAGGGTCCATGGATTTTTGTTATTTTATTTTATTTTTCTTGATTTCTGTGTGAACTCCCCCTATAACTCTCAATGAAGATGTTCTTAATCTAAAGATAGATCCACTATCGAGTCATCAAAAATATGCTAATCCTACTCCGTATATATTTTTGTTTAAATGCATTTACAAAACTGGACTACATATACATGAAAATTACGGGGATACGTTGCACGTGCGAAATAGAAACGTTCGTTAACCAGACAACTAAATTGTCCAAATCCGAATTAGACGATAACACGTCGGCACCCACGCGCATATGAACAAACATGGAAGAGAACGATATGTCCCTTGTGATTTTGTTTTCCTCAATTTCTCTACATTTTGTCTGACTTTATAAGAACATCTTCATATCAAAGGCGAAAATATATATGAACAATCTCTATAGTCATAAAGATAATTAACACCATGATATCTAGTCTGAACGATATTCTAATTAAAAAGACATTAAATAAAACTTTTAAGGATACGATTCTTCGATCAACTTTTGAGATCATATATATCATGTTCCCACGAATTCGCCAATCAGAACACAGTTTTGGATAACACCGTCAAACCAAAGATCAAGGCCACATGCATGATTGATTTCTATACTTTTACAAACACAGTTCTATTACTCTAGATTCTTCACTTTACAAGATTTCTGTTCTTTGTCAAATGAAATTATTTTGCGGCAATGAGCTGCATAACCTCTTTTGAAAATTAAAGTCTCTCATTCAAGTTAGAAAATTTCACATTTATTCGTTGTAAAATCATTGATTATATTCTTCACTATGATACTCTTTGAGAAGGGGGTATAAATTTATGAGTTTCATAATAATTATTTGGAAAAGGAAGGAATATAATTTTCTGAGTTTCATAATAATTAACGATCGTATACCTTCCAAAGAGATCCACTTTTCAAAAAGAAAAAGAGCTACTCCATTCAGTGACGGATCCATGAGTTAATTTTACATGGGTCAGACTAATACAAAAGGGAAAAAATAAATAAAATGTGCTACTCAGAAGGTTTGAACCGTGGTTATGGTGTGGCAGGCAGAACATTTTACTACTAGAACTACGGATTGCTCAGTGCTTATGTGAACAAAATAATATATATCCATTTAAGGGGTGTTAGATGCAACCATATCTTTCTATGTGGGTCCGCCTCTGATTCCATTTACGTATATAATTAATTCCACTTAAAATATATTTCACAAAGATTTTAAATTCTAAATAAATAATGACAATGTGTTTGTTATATAGGAAAACTACGTTTTTGGAAAAAGGTTATTTCTACTAATTTCTCAAATAATTTTTGACATTTTCCGTTCTCAGTTTTTTTAAATCATTTTCCAAGATTTTGTTGTTGTTATTATTGTTGTTGTGTGTATGATGTGATTATATAGTATTTTGTACAGATTTTTCTGGGATTTGGTATTTAGGTTGTGTTTCGTGATCGTGATGATCTATAGCAAGAAGATTATAGAACTGAGATGTCAGATGTTTGACATTGTCACATTGATTGGCAAATTTGATCTCATGCATGGCTTCATCGGCTTGACATTTTCAGTTTTACAAATTTATCTGTTTACTCGACGTAAGTCAACACAACTCGTAAGCGTAACGTAAATCAAATTCGTAAGACGACCACACACAAGCTTCCAAAAGAAATATATGTGAAAAGAAATATATATATAGAGACTCGCAAAACACGAGAACCAACATGCTTGAGACTTGACATACAAAATGGGAAAAATTGCAGATATAGATAATTATCTATATATATGTTTATTTGTGTGACTGTATATGTACTATGTGCATAAAACCAGTACTGATCCTGACATGGAAAAGACCAGAAACAATTTTTTTAAAATTAGTTATTTTTATAAAACCGTTTATATATCATAATAATAATTTTCTTCTAAAAACGGCTGATTTTTCAAATATTTTTTGAGGACCGGAAGCTGTTACTTGTAATGCTTTCCCTCAGAGCCGGTACTGCATAAAACCCATTGCTGTCATTGACAAATAGAGCACAGCCAATTTGTATAAGGGTAAAACATAGCACATTATTTTCTAGTACGTATATTCTCGATGACTAAATTTTAAATAAAATAAATTGACGTATGGAGCTTTAAAAATGGAAATATAATTTATATCTTCCAACGATGTTGAATTTTTTGGCATATGCTTTTTCTTGGTCATTTTTATCTTACAGTGATGTCCAAGTTTTGACAAATGGCTTTGTCTTGGGCATCATTTTATTTTTAGTTTATTTATTAATTATTTTTTTTGGTCTTGGCCATCATGCATATGTATGCAAATGATGTTATGATTTGTAGTCTGTAGGGATACCTTTGCTTCTACGTCTATTATATATATCAACCGCCAATTTCTATAATAACTATAAAATAAGAATATCAATAAATAATGTTTAATACTTTAAAACATAACGTTATGTTGAATTATTTTATTTAATAAAATATTTAAATCATTGGTTTAGTTTTGCTAGGAGAAGTGACTTATGTATCTAACATTTACTGCCTCGGATATCAGGTATATTTATGTACTTTTACAAGTTATAAAAAAAAAAGCTCTATGATTGATTAGAAAAGGAATAAAGGTATATTATGTACTTTTACAAGTTATAAAAAATGCATTTACGAATTAAAATATAATAGAAGGATAGGCGACCATGCTGGTATGTACGCGCCACACTGGGTGTCCCTTTCTTCATTCTTTTTTTTTTTGAACACCGTCCCTTTTTCATTCAAAATCTAAGTTTTGACGGATCTATAATATTTGAGAGATCAATGTTATGAACTTTAACCAATAGAAAAGTATTAATTATATATTGTGAACTCATCATAGCAAATAAACAATTATTATAGTAGTTGAAAGAGTAACAGTGCCCTTTAAACAAGAAAACCAAAGCAATATTTTTCTATTTAAGCTAATACTATTTAAAAAAAAATCTATTCAGTTATTTCTTTTTAGTTATAAAAAATATTACTTTGTTTTACGAAAAAGATTATTGATTTTTTTCCAGAAATTTTCCATAGCAATTTTTAAATTTATGAATGGCTTACAACATCTTTTAAATATCAAAATATGCTTACTAATTCAAATTTAAATATCAAAATATGATTACTAATTCATAACTCAATTGAAAATGAAAATAAGTTGTAATATATATATATATCGCCAATGTATGGTAGGTATACCGATATTTAATTAAAATGAGAATATGATTACGAATTCAATTTTTACTGAAGCGTCTATCATATCATACTTCTTTGTCACACAGCCATAAGTTTCTTACAAAATCTCCAGGACTATTGGTAAAGGATGTTTCTTGGTGGTTCAGTTCTTAATAAGTTTCACGGCATGCATGAAGAAAATAAGTCAACTATCATACACGATTCATACAGATTCATCGATCCTCAGTATTAGGCTACGTCCATTCTCCACTGCTATGGAGTTCAGCTTACTATGTTTAAAGAAATTATGAAGTACAAGGTTTTTCCCTCTCTTTTGTTCTGGCTCAAGCACAAATAAACGACAGCAACAGCTAAAAGATTAGGTTAAAACCCTAAGATAAACAACGGATCAACCAGCGGATCTAAAAAGATTTAGGGGTCTTCACAAGTCAACAAACTAGCTGTGATCCCTATTTAATACCCTAATGGCTACTCAATAAGTGATTTCATACCCATTTTCTACAGCCAATGTAATTATAACTCATCACCAAAAAGAGTGTTGACCGTTTAATCCTCCTTGGTAATTCTGTTTCTTTCTTTTTTTTGTTAATGTGGAATTATAATTGTTATGCAACTTCATTCAATGGACATTAAACTAAACAAACCTAGTCTTTGACACTATGAAACATGCTTTGGTGTTTTCTTTGGGGTTTAATTTTCCAGTTTCTTTTTGTAAAATGGATTATTTTTCTTTGTGCATGATTTATGTTTGGATCTGACCAAAAAATTAAAATAAGACTAACCATTAAATTTCTGTACTTTCAATTTAAAACCAATTAACAATAAATACAAGTGTCCAAGTTTCTTATATATTAATCATGTCTAATCGAAATTAATCTACATTCGATGTGATAATTTATATAGTTACACACTTTTTAGAGATTAAGATTCATATCACATAATCTCTACATAATCCCAAAACTAACCAAATTAATTTAGTCTACCACTGAATTCTAACTAGTGAATTTACATTTACCTCTCTAGATCATGAGATCAATATATATTTGTACTTTAGTCCCAAAATCCGATGGAAAAGAAAGAACTAGAAGACGCATGAAACGTAAATAGTCATGTCCATTACCAATCAGAAAAATCGAAAATTTCCTATCACTCATCAATTCCAGTAGTACCGGAAAGCATAAAAGAAACACTAACACGACATATATCAAAAAGACGAAGAAAAGTAAGTACTTTGTTCACACATTGTGATAGCTGGAAAGTTTTGATGTAATCATTGATCTTATAAGATAATATGGTAAATAAATAACTCACATAACCCTGCATATATATACTGATTAATTACTGAACGCATATGCAAAAACCATTAGGTTTTTGCATATATATAATATATACACATCTATACATATATTTTTCTACCTAAAAGATAGGGTTACAATTGTTTTGTCCTATCTTAAAAAAAGACCCAAAACTTTTAGTTTCGATCAATATCTAGCTAGACCTAAAATATATTATAATACATCATATGATTGGATACAGACCCAATTAGATACGCCGCTCTGGTCGCTGCGTTTCTTAACCGTTGTCCTTTGGGGAACATCATCTCACTTGTTTTGTTCATAAATTTGCTGCCAAAACTGTCTTCTCTAACCGTAGACTTTAAGCTTCTCGGACGGTTCACTAAACTGATGTAAGTATCAAGATCATGGACACAAGAAATGTTTTGAACGTCGAAGAAATCAAGCGTGAGCTCAACTCCCACGTGAGTGTAGCAAGAACAGCTCCAAGGAAGCTCGTAAACGCCACCCAAAGCCCTAAAATTCTCGTTGAACAAAAAACCAGGGAGTTTCGTGATGGGATCATTTACATTAGTGATCCTCAAGACCTTAACTCCTAACTCCTCACACCGTTTCTTGAACCCCAAGTTACCAACTCTTGGACCCGCAAACGAAAAGACAGTCACTGGAACATCTTTTTCGCCTCTTCTCTTGTTCAAACCTAGTTCTGCTATGTCGTAAGCTAGAAGGTGAGCTAGAGAACTCCCCATGCTATGTCCCGCAAGAGTTATGCTCATTTCCTCGCCTTTGTGTTTGTTGACAAGCCTAGAGATCTCGGAGAGAAGCTGCTCACGGCAGCTTTCTAACCCGAACTTGCTTTCACTCTCACAGGATGTGTATAAACTCAAGAATCCGGATTCAACCTTGACATCAAGACGAGGGCTATGAGGATCAAGCTTAGCTGGAGTCAAAGAGCTCATTAGGTTAGCCATCCACTCAGGGTTGGTCACAGTCCCACGAAACGTCACCACAATATCTCTCCTCCCCAAACGTTTCACCGAGTCATCAGAAGAAACAGCTACATACCCTATCCAACGTGCACGATTAGGCTCGTTGTTGATAGGGTTGATGTTGATGTCTGGTGTTGCGTAGATGTACTTGGTGACTTGGTATCCATCAGGATCATGGATTCCGGATTCTTTAAGTAAAGTTTTTTTGCCGTACTTGCAGTTCAAGTAACGTTTTGAGTTAGGGTTTAGATCAAAACCTTTGTAAGAGGCGGAGAGTAAGTGGCCGTAGCGAGTGATCTCTTGTTGGAGAATAGGGCTTAAAGGGTCGATTAGATTCTCCCAGTTATTGCTTCCTTGTATCTCTCTCCATACTCTAGACAACGGCAGAGATGATGCTCGAGAAAGAGGAGCGACCATAGAAGAAGAAGAAGGAGGAGGAGCGAGTGGAGAAGAAGGAATCGGTGGGGCCATTATAGAAGAAGAGATTAGAAGCTTTTTATTGGAACTGGTCTCTGAGAGAGATACATAGCCAAGATTGTGTTTCTGTTGAGGAGTTTTGTCTCCAGATAGAAATGGAGACAAGTTAGGGCTTTGAGTGAATATTTTGGTCGCCATTAATAGATGACACTCTGCAGAGAGAGAGAGAGAGATAGAGAGACAGAAGTTGGTTTAAGTATAAAAAGAGAGACAACAAGTGAGATGCATATTTATAGAGCGAAAATGTGAATGGGGGAGAGAGAAAAAAGCTACATTCATTTGGCGAGTATTGACTGAGGAATTAAATATTGAAAAGGTTTGTTGGTACAAGTTTTTTAATAGTATTATTCATTTTGTTGGGAGGCAAATATTAATTATTTATCTGGTCGGTTTGGGTTAGTTAAACATTTTTTTATAAATCTTATAATCTCTGTTCACGCCTCATGCTTCTCTTATATACTTGACTACTCAGCGTGTATATGGATACAAACAAAAACAGAACCGAAAACAATAATTTTTAACTAGGTACTCTATCAATGATTTAGGGAGTTGTGGTCGGAGAATTTATAACTGTCTGATTTATACAATGAATATAAAAATCATTACATATGATTTTATTTTCTTTTGTTGGAAACTTACACCTTTAAAGTTTATAGCTATAGTTTTGAGAAACAGGAGAGAATGAGTGAAAATATCTACAACAAAAAAGAATTACTTAGGTGACTATTGGTAGGGTTTGATTAAATTTAAAAATGCCATTGGGATTTTAGAGAATATTATACAGTCTTCTCCACCAAAAGTATTTAACAATAGCAATTACATTAGGTAACTTTACTAGTTAACTTGGCCTCACAGAAAAAAAAATGGTCTTACCTGATCTGTATAATGGTGATTCTAATCTTAAAATAACTCATAGTACTGGACAAAAGAGTGAGCTATATATTTTAATTGAAGAACTGTCATATTTCTGTGTTGTAAAATAATATATTTTAAAATTATTTTTATAATTTGTGCGTGGAAGTGTCCTTGACATCGACCTGAGAACTCATAATATTATACATTTATATGAGTATTGTAGATCCAACGCATATAACTTGGCATATGTAAATTATAACTATGAAACTTTATATGTTTGTTAAAATAAATATATATATATATATATATATATATATATTATGAGAATTTTCGGTTGAGAAACCCACAATAAGATTGCTCTAACATAGTAACATATAACATGCACATCATCATGTGCAAGAAAGAAAGGTATCAGACTTTACATGACAGAAAGAACAAGCTAAGAGAATTAATGGCAACAAAGAAAGGTCATGTGGGGTTTTCTATGTTGCTTCCTAAAAGTCAAAATCCTAATGCTGACTGTTCTTTGGGTTATCGTTTTTTCTTTTTCTTTTTGGATTTTATTTTTTCCAGAAATTTGAAAAAAAGAGATTAAGTATTTTTTTGCTAACTGCATACTAAAGAAACTCAGTCATTTACAAGTGTCGTAGTTCAATAAATTTACTACCTCTAGTACTAGATGATGTTTTATATCAGTGCACATACATAAAAAATCTATTTTTAAGTAACACCAAAAATTACCTAAAGGATTATATATGTATATTCATTTCTAACGTCAATAAACTATGTAGTTTGAACTATTAATATAATTCTGATATTAATACGAAGATGAGTTGATTGTTCTAAATTCTTGTAAACGTTCCGATTATTATTTTTTTTAAAGAGAAATTGGTGTGAACAAAAGTAAAATATGTCAGAAATATTTTTTCTTGGTCACACTGTAGAATTAGTTTAAACAAGAATAAATTGATATATTAGAAACGACTGGACTAATAATGTCAGATTTCTGATTATTTATTACTTCATCTATTATAAAAAGATATGTGTTTTAAATTTTTCAAAAATATGAAGAAAATGTATGAAATTTTGATTATTAATGAATTATTTTTTGTAAGTAGCTATTTACATTATTTTTAACCAATAGAATTTCAATAATCATAATTATGTCTTTTTGAAATTTACAATTTACCACTAATTAATACAGTGGAAATGTAAAAAACATATTTTTAAACACATCTTTTTAAACATTGATTTTTTTTCAGAACGGAAGAAGTACTATTTTTTAATTACTAACACACAAAATCTTTTTTGTTTTTGTTTTTGGCAACATATGATCAGACATATATTGTATCACCAGCCAGTAAGAATGACACATAACCAACAACACGAAGAGATATCAAGTTTTTAGTTACAAAAAAAGATATCAATTTTTTTTTTGTTTAACAAGAAAGTCTATTCTCTTTGTGTTCGGGATCATTTTTGATAGTTGTTAGAGCTTAAATCATGGAATTCTAACGAAGACTTAAACCTGGGAGCAAAGACTCGATCGACTCTCTTTGAAAAAATCTTGTTAAATTAAAATAACCGGTTAGAGGGGGGGGGGAATGAATATATTTATCGTATATGTTGAACAATGCATGAAAATAATTCAGATGAACTTGATCAATAAATGGAAGTATACAAGTATGTTATCGAGTAATTTGTACTTCTTGCACAAACATATGCACAATGTTATTCGTAACTTTTTGACATGTACTAATATGTTTGAGCAAAAATGCCGCATTCTTACATCAATTGTCTTGCTGCATATCTGCCATTAAATTGGCCAATCTGTTACACATTTTCTATTAATAGCAACAAAAGTATTTTAGCAATCGCTTAGGAACCACGTATTTGATCGATCATTATCTACTGTTATTTTCTATTGAGCGATGGATTATAATCTAGTGAGTGAAGTAGTTGAAAAGAAGAAAAGAATCTATTTGCTGCACTGCCTTTCATGTTTTCATTTCAGCAATTGCCTCATTGCTGACATAACCAAAACACACTACTCTGACACATACTTTTAGCTTTACCGCGTGAAAGTAAGTGTGTATGGCAAAATCCAATATCCAAGGAAAACTAGAAAAGAAAACTAAACACGTACGCACCACGGTATTAGTTGAGGACTTCAGCCAGCTAAAATTGTAATGATTTCAAAATAATAGTATATGATAGATATTGACATTTTGCCAGCTAGGTTGACTCCTGTTTTACTTTTACGAACGAAGTTGACATAACATTGTATCAAAAACAAAAGAAGAAGAATGGTTGGAAAAATACGAACAAAAAAAAAACAAGAAAGAGTGTATTTTCGGGCACTAAACTAGGAAGATTTTACGCGGTAAGGAATGAGTTTGACTTAAAAGCTACAGATGAAGTTTTTCAGTTTTGCTTTGTTCCTTATTTGACTTCTTCCTGTGTACGTGTAACTCTCTACTTCTTCATTTTTTTCCTCTTTATTTTAGTTAACTTTTTTTCCTTTTACCATTCAAAAGCCAATTAAATACACATGCGCACACACACACAAATATATGTAATATATTCATAAAGTTTATTTTGTAACTCTATATATATATTTATAATGTTGTTATAACAAAACTACTACACTACAAACGTTGTTTTTTCACTAAGATTGTTGAGAAAAAAATTGAAATGGAAAGAATTATGATAGTTTTATAAATAAGTAATTAATGGTTAATTTAAAATTACTTTATGGTTTTTCGAACTAAATATTATTTAGTATTACAATTATGAAAGACAGTAAAATAGTACCATGCTACGATTTATACATTTTCGGAAAAATAGTAATAGCATATTTGAAACAAAATCTTAAAGCGTGGTCCTTAAAAGATTTTCCACTATTATAAGTACGTATGTTTTGCCAAACTAGATGTTTTGACTCTTAGATAATTGGATTTAATATGTTATAAAATCAAAAGGGAGGAGGGGTGGAGTGTGGGGGTAGCAGTCTAAGGATGGGGTAAATCCATGATCCACTCAGCGGAAAAGGCCGAGTCAAAGATATTCTTTTCTGCGACATGATGAAATGTATACACTTTTTATATGTTTGTCTTTTTTTTTGCGATTCATTATTCATTTACTGGTTTATATGTTTTATAAAAGAAGTACATATGTTTATATTCTTGAGAAGTAATATATGCATATGTTAAAATTAATTAAATCATACAAAGCAACATTAATTCCTTAGTTTTTTTCCTTTTTTGTTGTACATCAATTTTATTTAACTATGAACTTGCAAAGTTTCAGGCAGCTTTAGTAACACAAACTTTCTTCGTAACACAAGGTTGCATAACACTTGGTCTGGCTCCAGTTTTAACTAAGATCCAACTTCCAACATAAACGAAGAAGATTATGATATTCAAAACGGGAGTCCAAAACAATTTCATGCAACTTTAGAATATGATATAAATCAAACATAAAATGTAGTGAATAGCTATTCCATGATATTCAAAACAATTTCATGCAACTTTAGAATATGATATAAAACAAACATAAAATGTAGTGAATAGCTATTCCATGATATATCTTTTGTTGTTTTTTTCGTATTAGATCATATCACTTCGTACTCAATTTTTATTTGTAGAGGTAACATTGTGAGACTCGACCAGCCTTTTAAAAATGTATAAAATCGTTTGGTGAAAGACTGTGAAAATAAATTCAAAGGTGAAAAACCTTTCGGTCAGTTCTCCAAAAAAAAAAGAAAAAACTTTCGGTTATGAAGAGAAGAAGAGACTCTTTTAGTCCAAATCCTCAGCTTCATTGGATCTACCCAGCAGCTTCTCTTCTTTCAACTCTTAACTTTCAATATAATGCAAAACGAATAACTATCTCAAATGATTCCCCCAATAACTATAAGATTATGATTTTTCAAGAGCATCCTCTAACCAACTTGCGTTGCTAGCTTTTTCTGGTCACCAACATTTTTTGTTTTCGAATTTGAGAAGTTTTGACAAGAAAAAAAGAAGCTTGTCAAACAAGAATATCGATATTAATAGTCTAAACAAAATTCCCTTTTGAAAAATTACTTTGAATATATCGTACTCATTCATGTGTTAGCAGCCAGAATTGGTTCGAGGTTTATCCATCTTTTCCTTTAAAAGATTGAGTGACAAGACTTCTTTACAAGGAAGCTGCAACGAGGGTTCTTGGATTTGATTCTATAAAAAGCTAAAACTATTCAAAGAATCCAAGGCTTCTTGCTGCACAAGTAACTGATTATCTACATTTGAAAATAATTCTATAATAACGAACCAGCCCGACAATACTGAAGGAATCTATTACCTGTAAACTGTCCTAACTAGTCAAGTGTTCAATCACTTCACGTACCATCTAAAAATTAACCATTTTATCTTAGTGGCCTTAGCCAAATATAGAAAGACTAATTCCATTATGAAGGTAAATGACAAAGTTCATTCAATAATGTTGTTTAACTGTTTGAAATTAGAAAAAAACATATGCACATTGTGTTGTGTAGTCTTGTGTCATACTATATCAGATTCACTTGTCATATCACAGTAGAGACTGCGAGATTCTAGAACCTTCTGCATTGCGTGTCTGCATCTGTATTAAAACTAAGATTCAGAGAGCTTCACCTTAAAAATAATAATAATAGGAGTTTTATATAAGAGGAGAGTTACCTCCAAGGAAGATGATCAAGAAACATTGATGGAGAAACCATAATTTCTTTGAAGCTCTCTCTGTTTGCAACATAAGCTTTGTAACCATCTGGCACATCACATATCGGCCATCCTCGCCATATAGGCACACTCATGTTGTTTCCTTCGTGTACAATATGGATGACTACACCAGGCAAGAACATCTCCGGAGCTTCATCATCATCATCATCATCTACACTTGTTGGGACTGTTTCCATAAACTGAGTCACAGGATTATCTGTTGAGGCCTCCATCTCGTGGAACGGATTAATGAATTCTTCATCATGTTGCCTCATTTCTGGTTCAACTTCTTTCCAAATTGGGTAAGTTTGATCTTCTTCTTCTGTGGAGGCCTTTATTAGCTAACCTTTCTTTACGAAAAAACTATAAGTTAAAGAGTATCATCAGTTAGAGATACAAGCTGTTACCAATTATTGATGATGGTGTAGCTTCTCTTGTAGTTTGTTCTTCCACATCATTATGTCTGTGCCGTCTGCTAGCAGACAAGAACCTGCGTGCGAGTCTGAAAATGAGTGCTGTATCAGCTTTAGGGTCTTGAGACAGTACTTTGATTGCTGCTACTTGGAGTCGGCGGATTGATCCATATGAGAGCCGTGATGAGAACTCATTATCGAGTACAATGCTGTTTGAGGATTAACATTAGTGACACTTTCATCTAGTACTAATTAAAGTCGTCAAGATTCAATAAAATAAGAGAAAATGACTAGGATTCAGCTAAAATTTTTTTTGTCACAAATATAGATCTTAACAATTAAAATGATCAAAATATCAATTAAATGTTTTATTAAATATATATTTATATCCCTTGGGTTAATTAATCCTAGACTTTTTTTGTTTAGAGTTGAAGAATGGGGTTTTTGAGATATGGTTTCAAATTTAATAAAATAGAAAAAAATTAAAATTTTCAAAATAAAAAGTGATGTATTGGTCATTTTATTTTTCGAGGTTTATTTTTGTGATAAAAATTTAAAAGATGGCTATCTGAGAGAATTGCTTATAAAATAATCTAACCTTGTAACAAATTCAGAACATGCCACAGCCACATCTTGATCTACACATGGGAGAGGTCCATAGGCATATACATATAGATTAGGGAATCTGCAACGAAGCTATACGTCACAAAAAAGAGTCAGACATAAAAAGATTAGTTAAGATAATGTAAATGTAAATTATTAAAACATACTCTAATTCCTAGTAACGATGCAATAGCACCTCCTAAAGAGTGCCCAACGATACGAATACTGTAGCCAGCACACTCGGATCCATCACCAATTAATGAAGACATGAAGCCACTAGATCCTGACTCTACATACTCCATTTGTATAAAAAATAGATTAGAGAATATTTTTGTGTTTATGATAATTTGTGAATATGTAAACCTAACTCTTACCTCCAGGGTCTCCTTCTATTTGCATAAATAAATCTCTTGTAGCTTCTACTATCCCTGAATGCCCATAGTGTTTACGAGAAGAATCCATAACATGAATGTGACTAACATAGAAACAGTAAGTATTTTCATTATTGGTTCCAAACTTCACAAACAGAGAGATATAGAGAGACTGACTTTGTTAGACCGTTCAAGTCTTCAGGAGTTAGTGAACAAGCACGACCTAAACCATCAGTTATGAGATCTTCAGCTGTCTCAGTTCCTCTAACAGCAATTACAACACATCTTAGATAATGTAAGACTACAACAAAGTATGTCGCCTTACACTTCTCCTGCAATAACAAAAAAAAAATTACAAGAACAGATGAGAAAGATTCTGATACATTGAAGCCACAAGATACCAAACAGCTTCAAACAAACTTACACTACAAATCCGACCTCGACGAAGAACATGAGCAGGGAAGTCTATGAACTTAAGGAAGGCAGATGCATGACCTCGCCACCAATTATCACCATCAAGTTTAGGTCGCCTTCTTACATTAATATCATACAAATTTTTCTATATCAAACATCAGATTAAGGAGAAAAACGTATAGAAACGAGCTAACCAAGTATATAGTATACCATTTACGGCTCCAAGGTGTTAGAATCCCTTGTCTACAAATCCATGTGCATAAAAATAAAGCAGGGTTTCTCCCAACATCTAGCAGTGGCCCCTGCAACAATGCCACCACAAGTCAGCTAGAATATCTACCATTTAAAGCTATGGAGCATGTGTTGTTTAGTACAGTATAAGCAGCTTCTGCAAATTTATGAAATGTAGCAGCTTCCTGAAGATGAAACGCTGGAGCTTCCATACAGTTTTCATATGATTCAGGAAACTGGCTGTTATTCTGTAACAGAGCAAGGCCTGAAAATAGACAAAAGACTAGATAAAAGTCTTACAGAGAAAACTAAAGACAAGAGACCACACACAGCATCACCAACCTGCCAAAAACTCTAAATGGCCAGTGCCTGATGCTCTATATGAAACAAGATCACCTAACAGTCTTGCAACTGAACACACTTCATCTTCCTCTATAACACCCCTGGAGAAGACAGACAAATCAATTTCCCCAAGAATCTGAACAAAGTAAGAATGCTATAGAGTTTTAAGAAATTTACATATATTCACTACGTCCAAGACAGCACAAAACTTCACGAATCCCATGGTCAAACACCTCCTGGTAATGAGCTTTCCATGCATCATCTTGAGTTGCATAAAAAGACCTCCATTGCAATATATCTGATCCCGTGAAGCATTGAGCCAACGCAACAAAACAAACTGTGATCAAAAAGGAAACCTGCAGCCTTTGCTTCCATCCATGAGTGTCTGGAGATAGCCCTGATCAAAGACGTTAACTAAAGAGCTTCTTAAGCAAGAAAAAAAAGATTACAGTTACATAGCTCTAGATCACTGAACTACAAACAAAACCAATGTTAAATTTTGTGAGTTTAAGTTTTACCTAAAACGCAACGTCTTGGCATGCCATCAGGGGAAACAAATGTGGAGACACGGAACATAAGGTAAGTAGCACCAAGAAACTGCAGTAGAGTTATTACCATTGCAAAACGAGTCCACCAAAGCCATGTCTTATACTTTATCTGAAGAATCCACCAAAAAGTAAATGAGAGCCATTAAAACACTAAAGATCTTACGGAAACTATCTTTTAAAACGTCACCTTTCTATCGAGGCTGATCTGAGTAGGAGAATCCATGATGGTGATAGCCATGAGTTCCTGTGTAGTGGCGACCTTGACCATAGCGGCGAGTTTGACGCATGCGGCTAAACAAACGGCGTAGAGAGGGAATAGTTGGACGGTGGTGTCGCATTTTGAGTTGGAGACAAGAGTCAGAACACCACCGGAGATAATGACGGATAAATTGGCAATGCCGAGAATTAGAATTGTTCTTCTAACTCTCTTCAACCTCGAAATCCACATTGATTGTTTTTTTGTATTTTTTATTTTGCTTGTTGATGATGTTAGGGTTCTTTCAGGTCAATGTCTCGACGGGCATGAAAGCACGAAGAGACACGACATGTCCGAGACAAATCCGCACTTTTGCGATTTTTTTTGTTTCTTGACAAGACAATTTGATCTTTGATTGACCAGACACACGTGGAAACTAATGTCCGAACGAAGTAAAAAAGTAAATCATTACATTGATATATCGTTGGCTGACTTGTTACCAAAGTTATTAATGTTCCCACGTTACATGGAGAATGAGTTGGCCAAAGATTGGAGTTAACATTAGACAATATTTGGTTAACGATAAGGTGAAAACATGGATAAACTAATTTTTGGATATATAAAAAAAAAAGAAATCAGAAACAGAAGGATAAACTAATTTTTGGATATATATATAAAAAAAATTAGAAATCAGAAACAGAGCAAAGTCTCTGGCATGTTAAAAAAAAAAAGAACGTAAAAGGATTTTGATTCTGTTTCTAAAAGAAAAGAACATGCAAAGCTGGAGTTCTAGAGAGGCTGAAGAGAACCATGGGATTGACTTGATGTATCATTTTTTTCAACGAGAACCTCGTACAAGTTGCTCAAGAACCTGCAAAACAGAACATTCCAAACAAAAAAAAACACAAAACAATATAAGCAAGAAAACCGACATCCTTAAATGTTCATAGGTCTAGATCATTGTTTGACTAACACTACATTTTATGACTATCGGGTCTGTCTATTACCGAGAGAGGCTAACTTAGGTAACCACAAGAACAAATCCTTAAGCTCAGAATGTTTATTTGGAAAGCAAAAGGAAAGAGCATTTATTAAGAGAACAATGGAAGTGTTGTTCAGAATTGCTTACCATGAGAGGATACTGTATCATCCATCCAACAAAAGGAATCTGGGAAAGGAACATCTTTACCGTTGACCAAAATCCGCTGCAAAATGATCGTATATGTGACACTAGTTAGACAAAGTAACAGGCCTAAACTTCGTATATGTGACACTAGTTAGACAAAGTAACAGGCCTAAACTTTGGGCAAGAAGCTGAGTAAACTAATAACTTAGTGATGGGCGAAAAGGAAATGTTTTCTTCAGAAACTGATTGTCATTAGTCAAATCATAACCATTATATATGCAAAAGATCCTTGTGTGCTCTACCGGAGCTATAAAGGTTAATCATGCTTCAGAGTGCGTTAATATTTCAATTTTATAAAGAAAAATTGGATGAGGATATTGATAAGAAACAACAGAAACAAATGGTCTCACCCGAATAGGACAATGCAACCATATATCTCAAGGATAATGCCGATGATTGGCCAACGTACAAATATAAGAAATAGTCCAAGCACGAAGCAGACTGTGCCCTGCAACAAGGAACCCAAAAAAAAAACAAATTGATATGTCACTACAAAAGGTTCATCAAGAGAAGCTGGTAACAAAGATAAGCATGAGTGTTTATGCATACCTTCAAGTTATTAACGTTGGTGAATAGTCTCCAAGTTGACTGCCAACCAAGTAAAAGGCCAACACCTATCAACCAAAATAACTGAGACACAACAACACAAAGCCAAATCAGATTCAAATGTTGGAACGACACTCCCAAAAAGCTTAGAGATACAGAATGGAAAAAACTCTCACGTTTCCAAGAGCGAGCAAACCTCTGTCAAAGTACAAGATGACACCAAGAAACGTAAATGATAAACCAAAACCAATGAGACCTAACCCAACTTCTGCAAAAACAGAAAAAGATCAAAAAATGGATGCCATAAGAGAAAGAAGACTGAATTTCAAATCAGTAAGAGTTTTCAAGTTTGTGCATTCTATTACTGACTCAAATCACAACTAAGAGATATTATATAATCTTAGCTAAAGAGTTACACATAACGCTTAACAACTAACAAAGAAACTAGTGGCAAAAGAGATAATCGAACACAAACTCTATCTGAAAACCTTAAAGGAAAGCATAAGATGTTGAGAAAGTATTACTCTTTTGCTCAGTAAGTTCATACGCCATCTTGGTAACTCCACTTTCAGATCTGTTTACCAGAGGAAAAAGGTACCAATAAACATCATAAGCTTACTTGCATAAGAAGAAGCAAATAACATATTACTGTCTCATGCATAACCATCTGAAACAACTAATCGTGCCATGGCATAAACTGACATGTCATTTTCATATCTCAAAGCAGAGAGAGAGAGAGACAGAACAGTTTAAAAGCTTCAAACTTATTTTCTTGTCTGATCCTTAAATCTGATTAAACCCAAAAAAAAGAAGCTATCTTTAATAAATCTTTGGCCTGACAGTAAAAGGTGGTGTCGACCTTATTAAAGCTCAAGATCATCCAACCCATCAAGGATCGATTTTGCAAATGGATTCTAATCTCATTCGAGCTCAATTCTAGAATTAATTCGAAACGGAGACAGAGAAGAAGGAGATTTACCATAGAGAAGCGACGGCTGCGGATTCTTTGACAACTTCCGACAAAAAAAAAAACGATGCTGCTGCTTCTTACAAAATTATATTTTATTTATACCCCTATAGTTTTTTTTCTGTTTCTGACTTTACCCCTATAGTTTATAATTGAATCAAAAACGAATTGTTTAGGCAATAATTCATCATATGCAAATATGTTTCATGGAAATAATTATTAAATGGGTTAAAACAATAGACAAGTTGAAAATGAGCTATTAGAATAGGTAAGAAACACAAAAGTTCTTTGTATTGCTGAAAGAGTTAATACATTAGAGCGTTGCAATTACACAAGCATTATCTATACTATTAAAACAAAATCACTATTCTACTTTTTTAATGACAATGTTAATTTTCTTAAAAATATCTATAAATTTACAAAAGAAATTTAATTCTAATTTGTCCATTTGAAATCTTATTTTCAGCAATCATAAATTTAATTTTGTTCGTAAGCTTAAACTCATTGTATACTTCTAAAAATATTATCCACATGAAAATTTTAATACTATTGAACATTGCAAAACCTATAAATTAAAATGGAGAACATATATACAATGCATTTAGTTCAAATAACATATGCTTGAACATCTCATGAATTCTTCATATGCAATATGTTTCATGGAAATAATTATTAAATGGGTAAAAACTGTACAAGTCAAGATTGTGTCAAAAGCTGCATCAAAGCATGTTTGAAGTGGAAAATGAGACAAGTTTGCTGAGGAACTAGAATATTTTCTTGTTTCCAAACTCAACCTAGAAGCTTATGATGAAGCTTATGAAGAATATGATGCAAGAAATAGTCAAAGTGGTGGCTGCCACTCTCGCGAAAAATGGTTTATACCGGAATGACTTTACTTTTAATTCAAAATTAATATATTTACCTAATTATCTTTTCTCTTCTCTTAAAACATAATCTTGATTTTTGACATATTGACGTGTATCTCAAAGTCATCCCCAGGTAGACAGACACTCGCCATAAGCCCTGGATACTGAACATGCAAAAGATGGACTTCGTCTATGGCGTGAGCATGCCAAACTTCTTATCCACAAACGGGATAAGATTTTGGAGAGGCTTCAGATGAAAATCTCCTCAAAACGAGATGATATATTTCAAATTGTGGAGAAGCCCAAGCTGATGGAACTTACAAGAGTTTGAAACCTCCTTATGCAACGAAAATGATAGGCGCCACTTCGACTTTGTGTGAGGTAAAGCTTTTCATATATGATTTTTTATAAATGAACCCTCTTTTGACTAAGTATTATTAATAACTTTTCATTGCAGTATTATCCAAAACCAAGGTTTGTCGTTCATTCGGACACATTCAACAAAAATATCATGGAAGAGGTCACGGAAATTACCCTTAAAGATCTAAGCAAAGTAGCCCCTGAGCTGTACAAACGATTAGGTAGAACTATTTTTCATTAAATTGAGTATGTTTGATTTATCATTAAACAATCAAAAGTTCTTGAAGTATCCCATCTTCTTGTGTTTGGATGTGTATTGATATTGGGGTTCTTTTGGTGTTTTCTATTGTTTCAAGTGAATGAAACAGCTGACTGACATAGTAGATCACCCAACGCAAGGATCAATGAGCTCTCTACTATGATCCAAAGAAAAACAGCGGCAGAAGTTTCAAATTTGAAGCAGGTATGTACAAGGAATTTGAAGGCTTTGGTGGAGGAGGTTGTAAGTTCAATATTAATTGCTCACCAAATCTCACAGGACTTGCATACCAGAAATCTTGGATGTTTGCACGATGTCACCTGAATCGCATTGAAAAATCTCATCTCTCTGAAGAACATCACGTGCTCAAAATTGGTCTGATTTTCTCAAATGTTTTTGACTTTCTCTGTTTCAGGATGAACAAGGCATTAAAGTCTAAGAGAATATTTCTAATGAACTAGTTATGCCTATGTAACATTTTATTTTATTTTCACTACATTATTAGTACATTTGAAAATTTTGCTGGTTCATTAGGCATTGAAAGCTTAACATATGATTGAACATCTCGTGAATTCATCATATGCAATATGTTTCATGGAAATAATTATTGAATGGGTAAAAACAATAGGCAAGTTGAAAATGAGCTATTAGACTAGGTAAGAAACACAAAAGGTCTTTGTATTGCTGAAAGAGTTAATATATTAGAGCATTGCAATACAACACAAGCATTATCTATACTATTAAAACAAAAAAAAAACATTCTTCTATTTTCTTCTTTAATAACAATGTTAATTTTCTTAAAAATATCTATAAATTTACAAAAAAAAATTAATTCTAATTTGTCCATTTGAAAGCTTATTTTCAGCAATCATAAATTTAATTTTGTTCGTAAGCTTAAGCTCATTGTATACTTCTAAAAATATTATCCACATGAAAATTGTAATATTATTGAACATTTCAAAACCTATAAATTAAAATGCAGAACATATATACAATGCATTTACTTCATAAAATTAAATAGTTTATTCCTTTTGTATACTATTATAAAAATCAAAGGCCGCATCAAAGTATGTTGAAAGTGGAAAGGGGGGAGACAGGTTTGCTGGGAACTAGAATGTTTTCTTGCTTCCAAACTCAACCTAGAAGCTTGTGATGAAGCTTATGAAGAACATGATGCAAGAAAAAGTCAAAAAGGTGGTGATGCTGAGAGTCTAAAGAGGATTACAGAAAAAAGTGAAATTGATGCAACCAAAGCATGCCAGTGACTTTATCTTCATTTGCTGCCTCAAATTAGGCAATAGACTCCTCCTATATTTGTAAAAAATAACTCAAAATATAAGTCCTACTCTATTTTATATGTAGCTAGAAGTGCCACTTCATTTCTCGTCAAGTGAAGATACAATTGAGTTTGCAAGACGATTGTTTACGATTGTTTGATAAAGTTAACAAGCTTTGGTTTGAAGATTTCAGAATTACAAGTAGGCTCCATGATGGCAAAGATGATAGTATGTTCAGAGAAACATGGATGTGGAGAAGAGATTCTTAGGATAGTATCAATGATGTCTTCGAGAGCAAATACGCACGAACAGAAGCAAATAACTCTGACCATATGTCCATGCTCATAGCTTATGAACAGAAAATGGTGCCTAGAGGCAACTAATTTTTCTTTTTTTTTTTGTGCACCAACTGCTTAGATTAACTTCAAGAGTTTAATACAAAAGCATTTAGAGCTTGCTTAGCTAACAAGTCAACAGAGGAAACAGAGTCTCTGTTAACCCAGTGGAAAGAAACAGAGGTAAATGCTTCTTTCAAAGTTCTAATATCCGAAAGGATTCCATACAAATCTGAGAAGGTTGAGTCTTCAAGTATTGCTGTCACCAACACCTGTGAATCAGATTCAAAAGAGATTTGATTGTAATCCAATAAAATTGCTTGCTCCATAGCTGAACGCAAAGCTAAACCCTCCGCCACGAGGGGTGATTTCACAAAGGTGAAAATCTCTGAGTCCGATCTGATTTGACCAGCGCTCAGTTTTGAGAAATTCCAAGCTGCTCCCGCAGCCAATCTTTCCTGATTCCATGCAGCATCCGTTTTGCAGATGATTCCAAATCTTTGCTCCGCCTCCATCCGTTTCTTACTGTTTCCCGTGACCGGCTTCTTTTCCTGAGCTGCTGCCCATTCTTTAGCATCAATAGTAGCCTTTGTAACCACTTCCTGCGCTGAGAAGAGCTTCTCCTGAAATATCCTATAATTTCGAGTGGTCCAAAGTCTCCATACCACCCAAGCCGCCAATGATCCAGAATTCACACCTGTAGGTGGTAGGCTCACCTCCAAGCCAACTGCGCTCCACTTATCAACAAACTGTGGCAGACCCGATAATATCACCTCATGCTTCAACGGTACCAGTCTCCAAATTTCTTGTGCAAAAGGGCAAGTGAAAAACACGTGATCTATAGATTCCACTGCTCCACAAATACCACACTCCGCTGATGGGATAATATTTCTAGCTGCTAGACGCTCATTCACTGGAAGTCCCCCGTGAATTGCCTTCCAGACCAGAAGTTTAATTTTCGTTGGCGTGTGCAAATCCCAAACCTTCTTTATCCATTGTACCTCTCGTAGCGCAATGGCATCAGCATCCATTGGTCTACCTTCTATCGCGGCCTGGTACCCAGTTTTCGTTGTATACTCCCCCGACTCATGCTTCAGCCATATCCTCTTATCAGGTCCTCCCTCTTTACTTGGTTTGATGCACATGATCTTTGCTGCAAGCTCTGGGAATAAAGCTTCTACTTTTTCAGAATCCCAAACTCTTGAGTTAGGCAGGAAGAGGGACTTAACCATATCTTCTCTAGTTTGTTCTGTTGCTGGTCCCATTGGAGTCTCTGCTGAGGACGTTGAGAGCCAAGCATCTGACCAAATGTGAGTTGTCTCGCCATTGCCAATAGCCCACCCGAGATGCTTGTTAATAAGGTCTCTTCCAATCAGTACACTTCTCCAACCATGAGAGCAGTTCAGAGAAGCTTGGACCTCTAAGAACGGGCTGTACTTGCAATACTTTCCTCTCAGAATTCTCGCTAGCAAACACCCAGGGTTGTTCAATATCCGCCAGCTTAGCTTACCAAGTAAAGCATCGTTGAAACTCTGGATTTCTCTAAAGCCTAGCCCTCCATCTCTTTTCGAATTAGTCATTTTCGCCCATGAAATCCATGCCATCTTCTGTTGATCTTGGTTTGGATCCCACCAGAATCGAGTTAATGCGGATTGAATTCTTTTGCACAAGGACACTGGCATCTTGAAACAAGACATGGAGTGGTTCGGCATTGCTGAGAGCACCGCTTTAAGCATCACCATTTTGCCCGCTGATGATAAATACCGTGAGGACCATCCAATAGCTTTCTGTCGGATCTTATCAACTATTGAAGTGAAAAGATCTTTTTTCCTTCTTCCAAAATGTTCGGGCAGCCCCAGATATTTGCCCCCTCCCCCTTCCTTTTGAATATCAAGTTCTCTCTTCACTTTATCTTTCAAATTTTGGGGTGCTTTCCTCGAGAATGTGATTGCTGATTTCTGTTTGTTTATCTTCTGCCCCGAGGCCTGCTCGTACTGTTTCAGAATCTCATTTAACTTGTTGATGCTCTGTTGATTGGTCCGGCAAAAGAACATCGTATCATCGGCAAAGAGAAGGTGATTGACCCTAGGGCATTCCGTTGCCACCCTGATACCTTGTAGCGATCCATCCTGTTGGGCCTTTAGGCAAAGGCCGGACAAAACTTCACTACATAGGATGAACAAGTACGGGGATAACGGGTCCCCTTGTCGAATACCACGCATCGGGGTGACTCTTCCTTTGGCTGAATCATTGATCAGGAATGAGAATGAAACTGTGGTGACACATTGCATAATCAACTCAACCCACTTCAGGTGGAAACCCAATCTCTTTAGCACTAGCTCAATAAAGCTCCATTCAAGTCGGTCGTATGCCTTGCTCATATCGGTTTTTACGGCCATAGAGCAGTGCTTACTAGCCGTAGACGTCTTGAGAAAATGGAGTACTTCATGAGTGATAAGAACGTTGTCCGATATTGCTCGGTCTGGTACAAACGCTGACTGATTTTCGGAGATTAGAGTAGATAGAATCGGTTGTAGTCTTCGGGTAAGAAGCTTAGAGATTATTTTGTAGTAGACGTTGCATAGCGCAATTGGTCTATAATCTGCTACAAACCGAGGTCCTCCACCCTTTGGAATCAGTCTAATATGAGTGTCGTTTATACCACTTGGCATCAGTCCTGTAGAGAAGAAATCTTGGATTTCTTGGACTATATCTCCCCCCACCGTTTTCCAGTTTGCTTGGAAGAATCCAGCTGAGAAACCGTCCGGCCCCGGGGCTTTATCCGAATGGATCGAGAAGGCTGCCAATCGAATTTCATCAGCTGATGGCATTCGTATAAGCATCTCGTTATCAGCATCTGAGATCACTGGAGATAACGCGTCACTGACAATCTGTTCTCGTTCTTCCTCATGAGAGGTGAAAAGTTCTGTGAAATAGTTCACGATAGTTTTGGTGATCGCCTCTTCCTTGTGGTGTACTCCACCTTCGGCATCTTCTATAACGGAGATGGTGTTTCTCGCTTTTCTGCCTTTAGTCGTAGCGTGGAAGTAGCCTGTGTTACGATCCCCCAAACTGAGCCACAGGGTTCTGCTACGCTGCCTCCAATACTCCTCCTCAGAGTTATATGCATCTTTCAGCTCCTGGTTTAAAATTGCTATCAGATTTGCATCATCATTAGCGCTCGTCATTGCCTCCTCTAGGTCATTTTTCCGCTGTATAATAAGCTCTCTGCTATTTTGTTGCTGTTCTTTATTCCAAGCCACAATCGCAGACCGGACAATGGCTATTTTCCTAGAGACTGGGGCCGAGCCCGCAAGCTTCCAATGTGCATCGATGATCTCTTGAACAGCAGGATTATCTTTAAGCCTCCTATCGAACCTGAAAAGTCCTTTTGATTTCCGTCTTGTCGTATCAAAACATGTGATAATTGGCTTGTGGTCTGAACCTCCAAATTTTAGGTACTCACAATGTCCCGCATAGAATTCTTCAAACCAATTACTGTTTGCCACAGCCCTGTCTAGGCGACAGCGGACGACATGGTCATATCTGACCCCTCTCCAAGATAAAAAATCGCCTGAGTGCTTAATATCATACAAGTCGCCTTCAGACATAAACGATCTCAGGTCAACAAAAGATCCCTCTGTTCTTTCCGCTCCGCCTGTTTTCTCTTGCCCGTTTAGTATGTCGTTAAAATCTCCAGAGAGGAACCAGGCTCCACCTCTAGCTTCATTGATTGTCAATAGGTCTTTCCACATGCTTCTTCTTTTCACACTGTCCGTATCTCCATAAACAAACGTGGCATAGAAACTTTTTCCTTCATATTGAACTCGAGAATCAATATAGTTTTTACAAGAGGTTAAAACTTCCAATACAACTTCCTGTTTCCAAAATAAAGCCAGACCACCTCCCCTTTGATCGCTGGGAGACACCAGATGGTGATTGCTATAACCCAACGAAGACAGCTTCCGGAGAACAAAGTCATCAGGATTCTTTGTTTCCGAGAGGAACAATATAGAAGGGTTCATACATTTCTGTATGTCCTTTAAACTCTGGACTGTCAAGGTGTTCCCCAATCCTTGGCAGTTCCAGCATGCTACTTTTAAGGAATTGGAGCAGGCGGATTGTGAAAATCCTTCCGCTTCTTTCTTGTTGCCGGAATGAGAACAATTGGTGGGTTACTGCTCCCTGCCTCCATTCCCTGACTTCTCCTATGCTCGTTCTGATTAGCCAAAAGCTCAGCTTTCTTAGATGTAGGTTTGGATTGTCTAGAGCTTGTTCTTCTCTTCGGAGATAATCTGACCTGGGCGACCCTTCTTTTCTTTGCTACCCCAGAGGAGCCAGCAACAGAGATATTCACGCCCAAATGTTTATTAGCAGGTGGCCTTCCCAGTCTTTTCTTAGCTGGTACTCTTTCTTTTTCCCTTGTACCTTCGTCTTGTTCTTCAGCATGAGGTATCCCTCCCAGTCTCTGTGAAATCGGAACTCTTGACTTGGTTGGCTCAGGGAGAACTGGATCCGTGATCACTCTTTGGTCTCTCATCAACTGTCTAGCAATCTGCTCGGTTGATTTTTCAACATCTCCTTCTTCCTCTGCTTGTCTAAGCCTCTCCATCCTGGCTGCGCTTTCGGTTGGGTCAGGACATGAGGTATATTGTTTCATTGCTCCTCTCAATTCTTCCCTAGCTTCCACCATAACTTGCTCAGGAATCAACTCTCTGCTTAGGGTTGGTGGTTCAGCTCGTCTTTCATTTGATCGGGGAGGGCCTGAGGATCCTTCCATTCCCCTCGCCGGAGGAGATGCCACAAAGGACCTCTCGTCTTCTCTACTGTTTCTGTGGCGTGAGACCACTCTTCCCTCATCTCTTCCCGGTTCTCTGTCTGTGGAATGGGAAGAATAATGAATTCTACGCCCAGTTTCTACCCATCTTTCCTCACCACGACTGTCTCTTTGGTAACATCTCAACTGAGCGTTTGAATTATCTCTTCTCAGCGCAGGAGGTCTGGTTTTCTGTCTTTCCTCCTCCCCTGTATTCCAGGTCCTGCTACCTCTGTCATTAGATCGCTCCAGAGAGGAACGGTAACCATGGTGGGAAGTCTCATATTTGTGGTACTGGTTTGAATTGTACCCTTTTGGTCTCCGGAGATCCCTTCGAGGTTCCTGATGTCTTCTCTCTACTCTCTCGGAGTTAGTTCTTCTGTGAGGAAGATCTCGAGTTTCAATAGTTTCCTTAGCTTTTAGCTCTTTCTCCTCTCTTTCCTTTAAGGTTTCAGGGCAATCCTCCGCCTCATGGCTAAGTAGCAAGCATCTGCCACAATGCTTATCGAGCTTCTCGTACACAAGGGTAGCCATGATTTCCTCTCCATTATCTAACTCCAGTGTATACTTCTTGATCAACGGTAGTAAGCCGTTTATTTGAGTTCTTAGTTTGATAGCCCCCGGGAGGATTTCACAAGTTTCATAGACTCCAATATCTTCTCCAATTCCTCTAAGAACTGCTTCGTTCCATAAATGCAAGGGAACTCCTTGGACCTTTATCCAAAACGGGATTTGAGATGGGAAGGTGGGGTCGAGCGAGGGTTCCCACTGTTGGAGAATAATCATCCATCTTGCAAAATGATATGGTCTGTTTGCGAGGACAAGTTGCATATCTTCATGAGATGCAAATTGAAATTGGAAAAGTCCCTGTCCTAGGTCAGATCCCACCGGTCTTGACTTTGTCTTCCAGAGGTCTGAGAAGAACGGAATGAGTGACCAGATTCGCTGGAGTTTAGGGTTGGTAGTTCGGCCAATGAGTGTCAGCTCATGCTTTCTTAAAAGCTCTGAGTTATCAAGCGCAGGGACTCTAAATCTTCCGGTTCTTGGAGCCTCTGTTTTTGATATTAGCCCTTTTCCTTTTTCTTCATATGTTAAACGTCTCGCCATCTTAAGAGGTGGCTGAAGGTTGGGAATAGCTATTCCGAAATTTTTAAAAGGTTCTTCACCACAAGGGTGTGAAAGTTCTGTAGACACACTACGAAAACAAATCAGTCACAAAACTCAACTGAAGGAGAGAAACTACCTTCTCAACAATGTGAGGTCGGATTTCCCGGTGATGGTTGAGGTGGGACTAAAACGAGCTCCAGTGGTATCTTCCATGTCCGATGCTGGCCCTCCGACTGGTGTCGGGGGTGAACCCGGTGAAAGTTGGCCAAGAACTTGTTTCGGACCGCTGGATAGAGTTGAAAAAGGTAACAATTTGAATCTAGCCGGCGGAATGCAGAGAAAGCAGGCCTGAAACTGGCAAGAAACTGGCAACGGACCGGTAGGTAGACAGTGGGGCTCTTTGTTATCCAGCAGTTAGTACCTACTCTCGGGAAGCTCGTCTGGGAGAGAAAATTATTCTTCCCAGAGGCAACTAATTTTTCATTATGTTATATATATATATATATATATATATATATATATATCATTCTCGTTTTGGTGTTAAAAGTATCTAGTTTGTTAATTTGTAGTGTGCAAAAATGGAGCATGCCAAACGTCTTATCTACAAATGGGATTCTAAGTGGGATTACTATTATTAGAGCTTGAAACAGAGGGGAATGGATGAAGAAAGAAAAGTAACTGTAGTGAGTCCGCAAATGTAGAAGAACTGAGGCTCTGCCGATTCTTTGACAAAATTTCCGAAGAAAGATACACATGGTTCTTTACAATATAATGCTTCTTATAAAATTTATTTTATTATATCCATATACTTTTTATTATTTTCAGAATTACCCCTATAGTTTTATATAATTCAATATAACGATGACTTGATTCAACAAGATTGGAATATTTTGAAATTTAGAAGACTATTCTAAAATTATAAAGTGATAAAGCACATGCATGACAAACAAGTCTAGAAAAGTGAAATGAGAAGAAGATGAAGTTAACAGGATTGGAAAGGAATATTCCAATCTGAGGCTTAAAACTTAGAGAAACTATTTAAAGATATTGCTACTATGTATGAAATTAAACATTAACATCAATCAAAAGCTTAAGAGTGTTGGTCGTGAAAGAATGGAAGGAAAGATGAAGATAGGACCAGTAGGGAAGCATGATGCTAGAAGCACAACAATTGTAAATTGGGACGAAGGAGGTCACAATGGAATCCTCTCTCAAATCTTTTTATCTCATGGTATCGGAGGTATCATGTCTATTCAGTTCCAGTCCGTAATAGATGGGAAGTTTGTTTTATCCGACCGCCACGGTCCATGTCTGGGCAACATGTTTGACGTAGTAAGTCTAATCATTTGACTCTTGTTTTTCTCCATCACAATTTTTATTTACAAACTAAAACACTAAGAACATGATCATCCAACCAAATATGAAACATCTTGAATTTGGGATTCACTTTATTAAAAAAAAAAAAAAAAAAAAAAAAAAAAAAAAGGGATTCACTTTATTATTTAAAAAACTATTTCATAAACCTTTTGCAAAACAAACAAATAATTGTCGTGAAACTTATTGTTTTTAGCTAATATTGATAATTAGATCTCACGGGACACATAATAAGTTTTCGGGATACAAAGTTTTATTTCAAGTAGTTACACACACATGATATAGTATATCGATTATTTGATTCATTATTAGTACAAGTATATAACAGCTTGATCCATGCTCATGGTTATAAGTTTATAACTCAAAAATGTGATTCTGGACCCAGCAGATAGAGCTGAACTATCCGCACGAGTACATAACTGGAATAAGCGGAGAGTATTACAAATACGAAGCTAGCAATCCTCACATACGGTCTCTCAAATTCACTACCAACACTAGTGAGTACGGTCCTTTTGGTACCTCCGGTTCCAGCTACGAAAAATTCTCGTTTAAACTCGGAAAATCTCCTCAGTTTGGTGGTTTCCATGGGACTTACGATGCATCCGGACTACAGTACATCGGTGTTTACCTCAGGCCTAAGACAGTTCAACCCAAATCCGATAAAATCAATGCAGAAGAAATGGAGTCAAAAATTGCCTTGCGCTAATAATATTTGTTTAGTAAATGTTCTTTATGTACAATAATCAAATCTATACATGTATACGTATGTAAATGTTCATTATGTACAATAATCAAATCTATACATCTATACATGTATACATATGTTATAAATCTATAAGATAGATGTTTTACCAGACTTTTTCCTTCGGTTATTGATCTTCCATAGCACAGCAGACATAACATGAGAATGAAAAATGCTGCAAATGATGCGGCAAGTGTGGTCACTAATGTTTTTTTGTTGCTTTTTCCGCAAGAAATCTCGAGACAGAGTCCTGGATTCTCTCCGACCTTTAAGGAGAGTGATCCTCTCTTTGATCTTTCTAATAAATCGGATGGAACTTTTTCTCTGGATTTCTAACGTTATCGAACTAACATTTTTTTTTATGGTTGTATCAATATTTTTAGAACTTACAAACCGCTAAAGAAAATATTTTTTTTTTTCTGTAAATGCTCAACTTGAAATATGTTAAGACATGACAAGCATGATATGAACAAACATTAATCAATATTTTCATTATCGTTTGTCTGCCTCTAAAGTCGTTTAAGACCAACTTTGAATATTTTGACGTCTAAGCAAAAACTTCATTAAAAGTCTATATCAGTTTCCCTTGTATATAATTACATTTGAATGACTCTAAAACCTGTCTTATACCAAAGCAAAAAGACGTGCAGAGAATGGCCCAAGACTCTTCTTCGCTGTAACAACTTTTTCCGCAAGCAATCGCAATTTATACTCATACTTTTTCCTAACCTTCATTTTCTCCATCAAGCTCCTACAAAGATTTAAACACAATAGCCATTACAAAGATTTTCTTCACTTAATGGACCGTTCCCGACCCTACTTCTTAACCCTCTTTTGACTAGAACTAATAATCGTTTACAAAAAATAATAAAATAATAAATAAATAAATAATAATCCTGTATATCTAATGAAATTAGAAATGGAAAACCCTATATATATATATATTAAAAGAAAACTAGGGTTTCCGAGCCTACTTCTTAACCCTCTTTTGACTAGAGCTAATAATCGCTTACATCTAATGAAATTAGGAATGGAAAACCCTATATATATATCAAAAGAAAACTACCGTAAACCCTAAGAGAACCGATGACGACGTTTACGATGCTTCCTAATGATTTGGTACTAAACTGCCTAGCCAGAGTTTCTAGATTATATTACCCGACTCTATCCATCGTTTCCAAAAGATTCCCCTCTCTCCTTGCTTCAGTAGAACTTTACCAAACTCGAGACCTCTTGGACCGCACAGAGAGTTGTCTCTATGTATGCTTAGGACTCGCTAGCTATTATGGTCGTCAACGTTGGTTCACTCTTTGCCGGAGGCCAAACAGTTCTAAGAAAGTATTGGTCCCAATCACATCTCCCGATTCTCCTACGTACCAGACGGATTTCGCAAGGGTTGGTTCTAAAATTTATGCTATTGGCGGGCACATAAACAATAATGATGATAATGCATCTCCAAGTGTCATGGTCATGGACTGTCGTTCTCACACTTGGAGCAATGCCCCAAGCATGTTTGTCGCACGTGGGGCCCCTTCTGTTTGCGTCCTTGATGGAAAAATACATGTATTCGGAGGATGCAAGAATCTTGATGCAACTAACTGGATGGAGGTATTTGATACAAACACTCAAACCTGGGAGTTTGCACCGTCGTCGAGTCTAGACGAGAAAATCTGCAGCAGTTTTAGGTATCAAAGCTTTGCATATGATGGAAATGTCTACGTGAACCCTTTTGGGAAACCTGAGATTTTTTACAAGATGGTGAACAAAGGTAGATGGAGAGCGGGAGACTTAGCTTTGGCTCAACCATGGATTTGCTTATCACCTTATTGTGTGATGGAAAACGTGTTGTATAGTTATCTCTACGGGAGGATCAGATGGTACGACTCCCAGGTAAAATGTTGGAAAGAAGTGGAGGGTCTGGAAAGTTTGTTTAGTATTCCTCGTTATACTAGTAAATTGGCGGATTATGGTGGAAAGTTGGCGGTTTTGTGGGATGACAATGCGTGTGGACAGTCTGGTCCTCCATACAATGCAAGGACACTCAATGAGTGCCAACCCGATACAAATATTTTTTGTGCGGAAATTTCGCTTGAGAAACGCCAAGGAGGGACGATTTGGGGGACACTTGAGTATCTTGACGTCGTGTATACAACCAATGAGCCCTATATAGTAGCGCATGTTGTTGCTGCTACGATCTGAAGAATATTAGTCACCATTAAGTACCTGACGTTTGGATTACTGTTTTCTAAAGTCATTGCGATTGGGTTTGTTCTGTTTATTGGAGTCATCGCTGTGCTCATCACCAGACTTAAAAAAGTTGTAACTGTTATCATCTGAGAGCACAGGAAGTGCGATGTTGATCTCTCTACGGTATCCAAAAGTTTCGTGGTATCCAGATTCTGTCATATCTGATTTAGTGTCAAAAATATACGTAAACTTTGAGCCAAAGAAACAGAGCACAAAACAGAGCAAATACAAGCAAAGCATGATTATGAACAACATTAATCAATATTTTTTTCATTATCGTTTGTCTGCCTCTAAATTCGTTTAAGACCAACTTTGAATATTTTGACGTCTAACAAGTCTTATTTGAGTTTCCCTTGTAAATAATTACATTTTTAATGACTATAAAACCTGCCTCTTATACCAAAGCAAAAAGACGTGCAGAGAATGGCCCAAGACTGTTCTTCGCTGTAACAACTTTTTCCGCAAGCAATCTCAGTTTATACTCATACTTCTTCCTAATCTCCCTTTTCTCCATCAAGCTCCTACAAAGATTTAAACACAATAGCCATTACAATCTGTTTCTATAAGATTAAACTTGTATTTAAACCTGTAACTGAAAACTTACCGGCAGAGAGGGACGTCACAAGAATCAGAATCATCACAGACACAAGCGTGAAGCTGAAAAAGCTGCCACATCCTTTTGCAACGAGAACAAGAAGCCCTAGACTTGCAGCCCAAGAAATGTCGAAGTGCACTTTCAACTCCTTTACAAAACCTGAACTCACACACGGTTCCCCTTCCTTCTTTAAGCGGTTTATCACGAGGCCCAATCGTCACGCAACCTTCTCTATATATGTGCACAAGAGCCTCCAAGGCTTCATAAACCTCCAAATACGTTTTCTTCTCCTCGAGCTTTAACCTTCTTTCCTGTCTCTCTGTCTGTGCTTCAAATACAGCTTCAAGTTCTTGTTCGAGGAGAGGATCAGACTCTTTCATCTCTTTCCATGCTTCTGTTAGAGAGATAGCTTCGAAGTCTTTGATGACCATTGAGATACATAGAAAGGAAAGCCTTGTGGCGTCGCAGCCACGTGCAAGTTGGAGCATGTCAAGCACAGTCTCCCTGTTGATGTGTCCTTCTCGGCTGAGAAACTCTATGCAGACTCTTTTGAGAGATGGAATCGAGTACCAGTGTGAGAGAAGCATCAAAGGGAACGCACACTTGTTCATTTCTTCCTCCTCGAGGCTGCAGGGTTTGTGTATTATCATCAGGGATGCTTTATACGCAAGAAAATTTTCATTTGAAGACATTAGAACGTACCAGGAGGTGTAGAGAAACCTAAGGAAGATGTAGGCTACTTCAAAAGGCACTGCAGGCAAATTGATTAGGTATGTTTTCCCGTTACTATCTCTGGACTGATCAAGAAGGTTCGCCAGAACAGGTGAAGCTGCACTCTGCGCAGAAGAAGACAGAAGAAGTTAAAAAAAGAAAACAAGATGAATAGATTTTCATGAGAGAAGAGAGTACTACTCACCAGGAAAGTTGAATGGGCTGATAGACGAAAGTTGCCTTCGGTTTGAATAACTGTATCTGCTCCAAGTGCTTGTTGTAAAACCTTATCCCAAGTTTCTACTGCTTCTTTGGGGACAAGGCGTGATGATCCTGAAGGTTTCCTTGTGGAAGAAGCTTGAAAACGCTGGTAGGTTACACGAGGAAGAGGAGGAGGTTTTGGAATGTTCTTGGTACTTGTAGACATTGTTTTTCTGGTACAGAGGAATAGGAACATCAAATAGAATACAGAAGTAGATACAAAACATGACCAAGAACAAAGAGCATGCGGACGATTCTGAGTCTTTCAAGAAAGTGATCAAAAACGCATAAGGTGGAAACGAGAGAAAATGCTCAAAAGAAACGGAGTGATTAACAAAAAGAAAGAAGAAGAAGAGAGAAAGGAAAGAATCATTGTGATTCACTTACCTAGAGAGTGAGAATCCGCACGAGGATAAGACTTGATGATGACGCAAGTGAAGATCACCAAACTATTAATCTTTAACCGCGAACTCAACGATGATAATATTAATCTTGAAGAGTAAGGGGAGAGGCGATGAACGCGAAGAGTGAGAAGCTTTGTTGCCAAAGTGATCAAAGGGCGCGCGGAAAGTAGCAAATTTGCATAGAAACGTCGTCGTTTTATATATAACGGCCAAGAAAATATTGAAAACCATATGGCCGGCTGATCTTGAATCGCACTGTAGACTTAGTTAATGGTCTTTGTTAGCAATGGGCCCATTAATTTGATTTTAAAGCCCAATTAATGGATATCTAAAAAACTAATCAATACCTTCTTTTGGGATCAAATCAACACTTTACAAAACTAAAATTTAATATTCTGACAAAGTCACCGTAATTTGGTTTTCAAATGACGCACCTGGATAATTGAATATGTATATTTTTTTTGTCATCCTATTCTTAAAAAACATCATCGAAAACATTATACAATCAGTTTATTATTAGTCTAAAAATTGTAGATCTCTAGTTAGATTCCTATCCAGAGTAATATTCCAAGCAATCAAATAATATTTTTAAGATAGAAAACACAAAACAAAGCCCAACAAGTTGAGAAGCAGTCTCTATCTTTCTCTCAATCATCTCATGGAAAATGGAATCTATCGTACTGTTTTCACATGCAGATAAAAACTATAATAAAAGTACAATTGTTTTTTTGTCGAATATAGATAGGTGGATTGCATTATCATCAACCACATCTTGGCCGCCAAGAAACCTTTACCTGTTTGTAGTCAAGTCCCACCAAAGACTTAGTCAAAAAAAAGTCATCTAATCCAACCTCTATATAAACAGTTAAACGCCCTCTCTACATACCAAAGCAAAGCAATCAAGAACAAAAAAAAAAAATGAGACAAGGATCTCATGTTATCGTCTTACCATTCCCTGGACAAGGCCACCTAACTCCAATGTCCCAATTCTGCAAACGCTTAGCCTCAAAAGGTCTTAAGTCCACTCTTGTCCTCGTCTCCGACAAACCTTCTCCACCTTACAAGACAGAGCATGACGACTCAGTTACTGTCTTCCCCATCCCTAACGGCTTCCAAGAAGGCGAGGACCCGTTCCAAGACCTAGATGATTACATCGAAAGAGTACAAGCCAGCATCAAAACCCACTTACCAGAGCTGATACAAGACATGAAACTCTCCGGAAATCCTCCTAAGGCTCTCGTCTACGACTCCACCATGCCTTGGCTTCTTGATATAGCTCATGGTCATGGTTTGAAAGGTGCCGTGTTTTTCACGCAACCTTGGCTTGTCTCGGTCATTTACTACCATGTTAACAAGGGATCTTTCTCCGTACCGGCTACAAAGTATGCTCACTCGACGTTGGCGTCTTTTCCTTCGTTTCCTATGCTGAGTGCTAATGATTTGCCGTCTTACCTCTGTGAATCGTCCTCTTACCCGAATATGCTAAGGATTGTGATCGAACAGCTCTCAAACATTGAACGAGTCGACTTACTTTTGTGCAACACTTTCGATAAACTGGAAGAAAAGGTACAGAACCTATATGTAGAAACATGTTTATGTCTTTTAAGGAAAAAAATAAAATTGTTCTGGTCTTGTTTTAATCATATCATCATATATATTCATCTAGAGAAATTCTCTAGGATAGACCTAAAAATTGTTTCGTTACAAATATAGAATTTAGCAATAAAAATTACTGAAATAGACTTAAATGTTTTATCAAATATAAGTTACTACACACTTATATCTTTTTGGTTAAATAATCCTAAACATTTATATTTAGAGTTGAGGAGTGGAGTTTTACGATAAGATTTTCATTTTTTTTTGAAAAAGACTTAAAATTTTCAAAGACAAAGTATATTTTTGTGATAAAAACTTAAAAATGTCTATTTGAGAGAATCGTCCATTCATCAATGTGATCATGGTTAATTTGTTTTATTTTATTTTGTTGTTTTCTAGTTGTTGAAATGGGTCAAAAGCATGTGGCCAGTCTTGAACATTGGACCAACGGTTCCATCGATGTATTTAGACAAGCGACTGTCTGAAGATAAAAGCTACGGATTCAGTCTCTTCACTCCAAAATCCGCTGAATGCATGGAGTGGTTAAACTCAAAGCAGCCTAACTCAGTTGTCTATGTATCTTTTGGAAGCTTAGTGATTCTAAAAGAAGATCAAATGATGGAGCTCGCACAAGGTCTGAAAGAGAGCGGATGTTTCTTCTTATGGGTTGTGAGAGATACAGAGTTGGACAAGATTCCAAGAAACTACGTAGAGGAAATAGGTGAGAAAGGATTGATTGTGAGCTGGAGCCTTCAGCTTGATGTTCTTGCGCATGAATCTGTGGGTTGTTTTTTGACACATTGTGGATGGAACTCGATGTTAGAAAGTTTGTGTTTGGGAGTTCCAATGATTGGTATGCCTCATTGGACGGATCAGCCAACGAATGCTAAGTTTATGGAGGATGTGTGGAAGGTTGGGGTTAGGGTAAAAGCAGAAGGTGATGGGTTTGTGAGGAGAGATGAGTTTGTGAGATGTGTGGGACAAGTTATGGAAGGAGAGAAAGGGGAGGAGATGAGAAGGAGTGCTGAGAAGTGGAAAGTGTTGGCTCTTGAAGCTGTTTCTGAAGGAGGTAGTTCTGATAAGAGCATCCAAGAGTTTGTTTCTATGTTTTGTTAAAGGAGATGTTAGAAAGTAATTGTCCACTGTAAAATTATTTACTGAATAGTAACATTATGCATATATATATACAACTTGCATTAAGATCTCCACTAATTATTTTCTACTGTTAGTTGTCGTCAAATTTGTTTTGTTTTGGGTTAACTAAGATGTTATTGTTCAAGATGTGAGCGCTATGTTTTGAATTCTCTGTATGTGCTATGTGATTAAAGGACATTTTTAATCATATTTGCTTTCAATGATTGACTTAGCTGGCAACAAGTTTTCACTAATTTTACCTGAAAAATCACAGAGTTGACTATACACACCCCCAAACCGTTTCCCATACGCAATGCATAGCCAATGATTACCCACTAGGAACATTCGAATAGTTACAGAATCCACCTGAAATTTCTTAAAGAAGAAATTTACACCCCAAAAGGCTGCTAAAACGTGACGTCTTTATCCACAGTCAAAGGCCATATGGGGCAAACTTTGGCCGTTTCCTAATTGAACTTCACTTTCTACTTTTATGTTACGTCGTTTTCATCCCACTATCAACACTAATGTTGCATAAAAATCAATGAAATAAACAAAAAGTAGTTGTAACGTGTTATGTAGGGTACGTACAGTGCGCCTAAGAGTTCTTCATTGCTACTGGACTTTTTTTCTCGAGATAAGACTGGGCCTAAGTATTCTTTTTAATGGGCCTTAAGAGTATTAATTCCAAATCGAACCGGTTTGGTTTCAAAGTAAACCAGTTGGTATTTCCCGCGCCGTCTTAACCAAAATCCCCAAATCGATCGTCGTTCTCAATTGCACACACTGTGCACACCCTTCGTGTTCATTTTAGGGTTTTTCGAATCGAGCGAGCGAATGAAACTTAGCTCGCGACGTGTTTCTGGGTTTTTGATGGAGAGATGAAACATCCATCTATTGTACTCTGTAATGAAGAAAGGTACCACCTTTGCCTTCAGAAACTTCACTCAGCTCTTTACTCTTCGGTCTTCCCTCAACGCTCGTAACCTCTCCACAAGACCGTTCCCTGATTACTCCCCAAAGAGACCTTCAGTGAGAGACACCGAACTCGTCCACCAAATCGCCAATGTGATTAAGCTCCGTCGCGCCGAGCCTCTGAGACGCAGCTTAAAGCCTTACGAATGCAAGTTCAAAACCGACCATTTGATTTGGGTTCTCATGAAGATTAGGTCTGATTACGGTTTGGTTCTCGACTTCTTCGAATGGGCACGCTCACGCAGAGACTCCACTCTTGAAGCCCTCTGCATCGTCGCTCACTTAGCTGTGGCGTGTAAGGATTTAGAAGCGGCTCGTTCGATGATCAGAAGCTTCTGGGAGAGACCGAAGCTTAGTGTTGCTGATTCCTTTGTACAGTTTTTTGATCTTTTAGTGTATACTTACAAGGACTGGGGCTCGGATCCTAATGTCTTCGATGTGTTCTTCCAAGTGCTAGTTGAGTTTGGGATGCTACGTGAAGCGAGGAAAGTATTTGAGAAGATGTTGAATTATGGATTGGTTCTCTCTGTTGATTCATGTAACTTATACCTTGACCGTCTCTCGAAAGAGTCTGATGAAAAAGCTGCAAGGGTTGTTGGTGTGTTCAGGGAGTTTCCTGAGGTGGGTGTCTGTTGGAACGTTGCTTCTTATAACATTGTGATTCATTGTGTTTGTCGGCTTGGGAGGGTGAGCGAAGCTCACCATCTACTCGTTCTTATGGAGTTGAAAGGCTACACCCCTGATGTTGTGAGTTATAGTACAGTGATAAATGGATACTGTAGATTTGGGGAGCTTGAAAAGGTCTGGAAGCTCATCAAAGTAATGAGAGAGAAGGGTTTGAAGCCGAATTCTTATACTTATGGTAGCATTATTCTTTGGCTCTGCAGAAGTTGTAAGCTAGATGAAGCAGAGGAGGTTTTTCGAGAGATGATAAGGCAAGGCATAGTTCCTGACACTGTAGTGTACACAACTCTTATTGATGGTTTCTGCAAGGGAGGGAATATTCGGGCTGCGTCTAAGCTTTTTCATGAGATGCTGTCTTTGGATATTGCACCAGATGTTTTGACGTATACTGCTATTATATCAGGGTTTTGTCGTATCGGCGACATGGTGGAGGCTGGTAAATTATTCCATGAGATGCTTTGCAGGGGTTTGGAACCGGATACTGTTACTTTCACTGAAGTTATAAATGGATATTGCAAAGCAGGGCAGATGAAAGATGCTTTTAGCGTTCACAATCACATGGTTCAGGCTGGGTGTTCTCCTAATGTTGTCACGTACACTACATTAATTGATGGGCTCTGTAAGGAAGGGGACTTGGACTCAGCAAACGACCTTCTCCATGAAATGTGGAAAATAGGTCTTCAACCAAATCTTTTTACATATAATTCCATTGTCAATGGTCTATGTAAGGCAGGGAATATCGAAGAGGCGATTAAACTTGTGGGAGAGTTTGAAGCTGCGGGACTTAAACCAGACACTTTCACTTATACAACCTTGATGGACGCATACTGTAAAGCAGGGGAGATGGCTAAGGCTCAAGAGATTCTGAAGGAGATGCTTGGGAGAGGGCTTGAACCGTCTGTTGTCACATTCAACGTCCTAATGAACGGGTTTTGTTTGAATGGGATGTTGGAAGATGGTGAGAAGCTTCTGAATTGGATGTTGGCGAAAGGTATAGCACCTAACGCAACCACATATAATTCTCTCGTTAAGCAGTATTGCATTAGAGATAACCTGAAGGCAGCCACTTCTATTTATAAAGACATGTGTTCTCGGGAAGTGGGACCTGATGGTAAGACGTATGAGAATCTAATTAGAGGCCATTGCAAGGCTAGGAACATGAAGGAGGCTTGGTTTTTGTACCGAGGAATGGTTGAGAAAGGGTTTAGTGTCTCAGCTAGCACGTATAGTGCTCTCATTAAGGGGTTCTTCAAGAGGAAGAAATTTGTGGAGGCGAGAGAAGTATTCGAGCAAATGAAAAGAGAAGGTTTAGCTGCGGATAAAGAAATTTTAGACTTTTTCAGTGATAGTAAATACAAGGGCAGGAGAAAGACAGATACAGTTGTAGATCCTGTTGATGAAATAATAGAGAATTACCTTGTAGATGAGGAATTAAAGGAAGCCAATTAGCTGGTGGTAAGTTACAACTTATCCTTCTCAAGTGCTCAGTTTGTATTTTGATTGGAACAGTTGTTTAAAGCAAGGGGGCAGGAAGGGTATTAAGTGGAGGTTACATCATCTGTTTGGATGCTTTTCACTCTGCTGTTCAATGCAATACCAAAGCATAATTTGCCTAGAAAGACAGTGACTTGATCACTGCTGATTACCAACAACTTAAGAGTAATAGTAAGCTGTTTTTAATCCTTTTACTTTTTACCCATATGTTAAAGTTGTCAAAATCGTTTCACTGAGTCTATGTGATGTTTGTAGGAGAATATGTCAAGAGTAGAAGTTGAGACTGGTTGTAGGAGATGATGTTCTGCTGAGAGAGCCACCGCTCTTTAAAGCTAACTCGGCCATGGAAATGGAACTGATCACATGTGGCTTGTAAGTTTTTAACGATGATGATGATGCATGATGACGAGGAAAGAGCTTTTTCTCTTTTTCTTTTTATGGTTGGGGTAGAAAAACATGTGTTGACCACAACTTTATGTTGTCGTGAAACTTTATGCTGACCACAACTCGGCCACACACTTTGAATGTGCTAACGTACGTTACATTGTACTCTCTGAAAACTAATTGACATTGTCCTTTGTGTATCTTCAATTGGAATCAAATATAGTCTTTTATCGATCAATAGTTTTTGTTTCTGTAGGGGTGAGGTATGCGATAGAACAATACCCATCAGCTCTTGTTTATCAGATAGTCAAACCTCAAATCATTTCTACAAAAACTAATAACGGCAATAAGATTAACAATATAAAAATAATTAAAATTAATCTTATACTAGTTTTATAGTGCTAAACCTCAATATTATCATTTACTTAATTTCAATCTTAATATAATCATATACATAATTAACACAAGTACATGTGCTTGCCCATATAGAGATTGACTTTTCTGTTACTCTGATCAGAATGATTAAAGGAAATGATTGGGTTAGTTTCAATAATGTTATTGAGCTACTTAATCACGTCTTTTTGGTCAACTGCTAGTTAATCAAAAGGTCATGTGGTTAAATGTATGTGCCGATATCGTGATGTATGTACACATATGTTTTTTTTTTTTTTTTGTAACACGTATGTATTTTACTTTTTTACTACATTTTTAATTTATTTACTATATGCACGTCACGACATTCCTATATGTGTATAAACCGGTACACACAGACAGTTTTGTTGTTGTGGTTGTCGTCTATGTTGTCTTTCTATCGATTTAACGTCAGACAATCTATGCTCTAATATTTATCGTGGATTAACCGTTTTTTAAAGTGCCTACGTATTTTCTTATACATCAATAGAAGCAACATACACCAACTACCAATAATATAATATATATAGAAGTGGAAAATGATTATTTGCAAAAATGTCATCGTTAATGCAACGACCGTTGCTCCTAAATTTTAGATACCGACCATGTGATGTGTGCACCTAATGATTAGAAATGTTTAAGTCTTTTATCAAACACAAATTATTCTATAACCTCTTATCATATAGACAGCACATGTACTATTGTACCCGTAGACTAATAACGAGCCTTTCATGCACTATATATATACCCTTGCATCAACCTCAAATAAAGCACAAACTTATTTGGCAAAAAGAAAAAAAGAAGATAAAGCACAAACTCAAACTCACACAACTAAAAATGACGAAATCAAATATTGCATTATCACTTCTCTTCACACTCCTCACCTTCATCGATGTCTCAACCAGCTCCCCCAGCGTATTCAATGTCGTTAGCTTCGGGGCCAAACCTGATGGAGTCACGGATTCAACGGCAGCATTTCTCAAGGCATGGCAAGCGGCTTGTGTCTCGGCAGCTTCAGCGACTGTGATGGTTCCGACTGGTACGTTTCTAGTGAAGGTGATAACGTTTACAGGGCCATGCAAGAGCAAACTCAAGTTTCAAGTGGCCGGAACCATCGTTGCTCCAGCAAATTACTGGGCATTTGGCAACTCCGGCTACTGGATTCTCTTCAACAAGGTTAGCAAAATGTCACTTGTTGGTGGGACTTTCGATGCTCGGGCTAGTGGGTTCTGGGCTTGCCGGAAATCTGGTCAGAATTGTCCTCCTGGTGTTAGGGTATGCATTTCTTCTCTAGATTAGTTTATTTTGTATATGCATATATATACTTACTTTAGTCAAGCCTTAATCATTATTCATTAGTAATAGTCAAATATTGCATCCATGTTCCAGTTATTCATTTACAATTAAAAACATGAGGTTGATAATTTAAATTTTTATCATCTAACATTCATTCGTTATTTATTTATCCAGTCCGCATTAACTTTACGATTTTTTTTACGTATAGTAAGTTTTACAAATATGAATTTTGAATAGGGAATAAAATATAGTGATAGTCTTAACTAATTTATGGTACAACGAATTTTGAAGCATTATGTACATATGTAGATCTCATAAAATCTTTGATGCATTATTGTAGTCCATAACGTTCAACGGGGCGAAAGACGTGACCATAAGTGGAGTGAAATCATTGAACAGTCAGATGTCCCATATGACCCTCAAAGGTTGCACCAATGTGGCCGTCCGTAGCATCAAGCTAGTGGCTCCCGGAAACAGCCCAAACACCGACGGTTTTGGCGTTCAAGACTCCACAGGAGTCACACTCACCGGAAGCACAATTCAGACCGGAGACGATTGTGTTTCTATCGGCCCTGGCACCCGCAACTTCCTCATCTCCAAACTTAATTGTGGCCCAGGTCACGGGGTTAGGTATGTGTCACACACACCATCTAACTTGTTAGAACGATTATATATGTATAAACGCACATTCTATACTGGAGTCTCTCATATTTTAACGAACCATTTAATTATTAGATTTAAAATTTTCATAAATGTAATGTAAGTTGTAACAATATAGTTTGCTATGTGATGATTCACAGCATTGGGAGCTTGGCAAAGCAATTGAACGAAGCTGGAGTAGAGAACGTGACACTATCGAATTCCGTATTCACCGGAACACAAAACGGCGTGAGAATCAAGTCGTGGGCGAGGGCGAGTACTGGATTCGTTAATAAAGTCTTCTTCCAAGACCTGATCATGAAGAACGTCCAAAACCCTATCATTATCGACCAAAACTATTGTCCGACCCACCAAGGTTGCCCTACCGAGGTACATATAAACATGTATATCATATTTTGATCAGACTGATCCAATATACATGTTTATGAGTTTATGAATTATTGTTATAGATTCTGATAAAGGTTTATGTGTATGTATATAATATAGCATTCAGGGGTGAAGATTAGCCAAGTGACGTATAAGAACATACAAGGAACGTCCGCGACACAGCAAGCGATGAATCTGGCATGCAGCAAGACCAATCCATGCACAGGAATCACATTACAAGACATTAAGCTTACTTACAACAAAGGAACTCCTGCTACTTCCTACTGTTTCAATGCTCGAGGGACTAGTCTCGGTGTTATTCAGCCTACGAGTTGTCTCAACCGATAACATCAAAAACTCTTGGTGTATATTTATTTGTTTGTAAGGTGAAATGGTAAAATGTTATTAGGAGATTGAGATTTTTCATCTTTTAATCATTGTTACCTGGTGAATATAATAAAATATTTAACAAAATGATGATCCAAATAGTTTTTTGTCCAGTGGCTTTGGATATCAACCGGTTCAGACTACCCAAAATGCTAGTCTTTTTCAATAAACAAATTATTTTATTTCACATTAATACAAAGTGGAATACTTTCACCTGGCACAATCACATGTGTTACTCTCTGATCATTCATAGGATTGAGGAATCTAAACTGAAAAGCATGAGGAAAGAGAGAAGCAAGTCAGCAAATCCAACAAGAGAATGTATGCACTCAGAGACTGATAAGTCTCAACAAGTAACATATGTTTACACAAGTCTACTTAAACCATTTAGATTCAAGTGAGGAGAGTCAAATTTTTGAATACAAACTACCTTAGGAATAGTCCCAAAGCAAATCTACAGTTTCTGATACAAAATGGATTCTCTCCAAAGAATCAAAGAATGAGTAAAAAAGCAATTCTTCACCTGATGCATTCTTTTATGTGATGGCTATGTTGTTCTTTCTGCTCTAAGATCAAGTCATAATAAATGTCAATGCTACAAGAGCTCATCACCGGCTTTTACCCCGTCTTATCTCTGTTTGATGACGACGTGAACCGCCTAGGTTCTTTGTTAGGTTTGAGGGTTTAAAATCAAGGAGACATACTCTGCCTGAGTAGCAGTGACGGACTTTAACAGAATGGCTTGTCCATGTAGTTGAGCAGCTTCCTCTAATGTTCACCATCAGAATCGCTTCTTTATCTCTAGCGTCTTCACACCACCAATTCTGTGGGATACCATCAACATTTTCTTCCAATGTGTAAAACTCTTCGTGATGAACTTTCACATCCACCGTTCCTTCTGGTTTAATTATCCCACCTGCTGGTGAAACCTTACCAAAAACAAAAAAATCATTAAATCTTGAGTTTCATTGTGCATTGTAATAAAATTTAATACCTCAAGCCATCGAGGTAAACCAAAGGAGCCTCGTGGAGTATAGTCAGACGCTTCACCATCATCCTTTACTATAGCTTGACCACCACAAAGAATACTAAAAATAGCTTTGCTTGTGGTTGAATTGTTTGTGATTCTTAGAATGACTGTGTCCTGACTCTGAAGTACAATATTGTTGGTGCTCACAGTTGTGTCCGGAACAAATTTTAGATCCTCGAATATGGATCTTATCTTCTCATTGGACGTTATTATCTTCCCAAGCTCCTGTCTCCGCACAGATTTATCAACGTGCGCTATGGTGGCATGGAACTTGCAACGTACAGGTTTGTGATCACTCTCAGTAACATACATGCAAGCTTCATACATTATAACTGATGAAACTACAGGGCATTGCAAGCTGCTCTGTGAGAATGGACTTGATTGTGTGTCTCTATATATAACTCTGTCACACCATGCAGGTATTCGTTTTTTCTCCCCTGAGTCATATCCTGGAGAGTACATAACATTAACATTAACATTAAACTTAAAAACTGTCTCAAATTCATATGCTAATGATATGTACATGTTTTTACCTCCTAGGCCTGGACGATTCCTTTCGAACTTGTAAGTGGGAGGGAAAGTGATTAGTGCCTCACGCATTCCTTGGAAGACTTTTCCAGCTTTCATCTCTTGTCTGAGTTGGTCTCTTTCTCTGAGCCAATCAAATGACCGCTGCGAAATGAAGTCTCTTGCTTCATCATAGGTAATACCAAACAGCCTATAGTTAAAATCTCCGAAAAATGCGACCATGTCTGCTGCTGCTAAATCAGACTTGGCTTCTTCAGTGCCTATGCTTGGACTCTAGTAAACAGAGAAACATGTTAAGCACCAAGATTAAACAGAGAAACATGTTCAGTATCAAGGTGATATGATTAAGAACATACTGTGGTAGTCTTGAGTGTATAAGCTGCTGTGGAGACACCAGCTGCAAGAGAGAGGGCCCATGGCAAACCAGAAGAGTAAAGCAGCCAAAATAAATATGTGGATAAGCCAAGTGAGCAAGACATAAACAGGAACTGCACCATACCAGCTGCTGCGTTACTTAGATGTTGTCCTCGTGAGAATACCATTAATCTAAATATG